GTTGTTTTTACTTCCACGAGGCAACTTTAGTTTAGCAGGGGTTCAAACTTTTGGAGTTATGGAGCGCGTGAAGAGGTTGACGAATATTTACAGAGCCTCACGATAAAGTTATAATAATGAAAAAAAAAAAAAAAAAAAACTAAATGCGGCCCGCAAGGGAAAATTGTGATCATTTTGAATGGTGTGCCGCCCATGCAGCGACTTGAAAGCAACTACTTGAAAGCCTATGTTATATGGGAGTGCGGCCCGCGGTTTCACCAGGTTATTTGTATCTGGCCCTCCTGCATTAAAATTTGCACACACCTGGATTAGACCATTGCACTCAAAAAGTTAAAATATAGGGGTATTAAGCATCGAATTTCGGAACGAAGAATGTAGTGAACCAATTGGGATTCAGTCTGAAATATGCGATTAAACAATAATCATACTTTTGAACATCATTAAATAACACGGCTCAGTAGTGATACGGATATGTTTCAAATGGATTATTTCAGATGGATTAATTGAACTGCAGTCGACAAATATTACACAAACTGATAGGTAAATCACATATTGATTTTGGCTTCATAGTTACTATAAGAACAACGATACTGTATGCTGTGACGAGTGAAATGGAAAGTAGGGTACTACCGGTGTATGTGAACCAAGATGGCGGACACCGGAACGTAGTATATGTACCAGGTTAGGGTTAGGTCATAATTTCAGGTACAAATACTACGGGAGTCACTGGGCTAGTCCCCGAACTCGTAATAGAACTAAAATAAATTGGAATAAAATTATGGCCTAACACTAACCTGGCACATATCCTACGTTCCGGTGTCCCTCATCTTGGTTTGAATATTACAGGAGTACCGAAAGTAGTATAGTAGTAGAAAGCTAGTGACCAAAAACAGACAGATGAAGAGTAAAAATTGGGCGTTGTGGCCAATAAAGATAAAAGTAGCGTGTTCGATAAGTACGGTACTTTTATGTTATTTAATATTAGAATTGGAGTAAAGAGGGCAGATACTAAAAATGAGACTTCAATCCCAATGGCTGGAACGGATCTCTAAGCAACAACAAACATTTGCGCTTGCGTAAGTTATTACCGTTATCTAAATTATGCATCTCGAAAACATGAAAATCAAAATTGAAGTTCGGTGAAAAAGTATATTATTAAAAACAGTCAAATAAATGAATTTGTCCAAACTCGAAAAACTATACCGCTTCAATTTTAAAACAAAATTTAATACCCAATTTTATTGGGTGTTAAGACTCGTCAATGATACTACCCTGGGTACTCCCGTAGTGTGTGTACCTGGCTAGGGTTAGGCCATAATTTTTTTCCGATTTTCTTATTTAGTTCTATTACGACTTCGGGGCTGTCTGTGTTAGCCAAGTGAATATACACCCTGCCCATAGGTTTCAGCCCTTTACACAACTTAATATAAAGTAAGCGAACGAAATTAATCCACATTCGTATAAACCAGGGATGGCCAAGGTTTTTGAAGCAAGAGCCAAACATTTTGCCCACTCAGAATGGCGGGCCATGTAAGTGTGACGTGGAAGTTTCATTTTATGAACAATATTTACAGTGTTACAAAGCTAAGGTGGAAACAATAAGCCTCGTGCCAAAACTAAATTTAAGCGCAATCTCAACAAATTCCTTGATCTATTTTAGCTGAAACATCAAAATTTGATTTCAGTTTGGTTGTGACAGCAACAACAGGCGGATCAGATTGAATTACCCAACGGGCCGGATATAACAAAAATTGGGCCTGTATGCTGTACATATATATATTCTGGATATGGCATAAAAAGTTAAGCAAGGCACCTATTACCGGTATTTACAAACATAAAACTGAAAGTTATTCATAATTCAACGCAAGATACATTATGCAGAGATGTCTAGGGTGCCATATATATTAGATTTTAGTTGTTGACAATTGGGAGAAATATTACATTTGTAGTTTTTTACGTGAATGTTTCACAGAAAGGAACAATAGTAGCAGCGTGTAGAGTATAAGTAAGTCAAGAAATAGCCTTCTATCTCACACCAAAATTCTCTGAAGATATGAATAATATGATAATATGAATGATATAATTATGAGTCATCGCCCCTTCCTTATTTGTGCAAACATGGAAAGATTGAATAGTCATGAGACATATTCGATCTCAACAAGTGCAACTAATTTGCAAAATCCAACATTTTCAAGAAGACCATGGTGTTCTTGTTTGGGCATTGCCTATCAAGGCAGTGGAGGGTGATGATATGATACGTTAATTGCAAAATAATATGTTGATTTCAAAAGTAATGTCAATGCTGGTGAACAATACGTCATAGTTCATGGGAAATTATACTGGAACAATGTCATAATTAGCAAAACGGTTTGTAGGTTCACTTCGTATCCAAAAATGAAATGTCGAAGATATAAGAACGAGTCAGGTGTTACAGGTTAGAATCCGAAGTATCAACTATGGAATCCTTTTATTGAATCACGCAATTTGCTTTTTTGTTGTGATGTCTAAATCATGAAAATATTGTGTTAATTATTTATCAAATGTGATACCGATATCAAGAAAGATGATTTCGGAATTGAAATACAAACAGAATAACAAAAATAGGTGAATAAAAATGTTTTTTGAATAGGAACAAAATTAGCCAAGTAATTATTTTATCAAGTAAACGGATAGCTCGCGGAGCCCCTTGGTTTCTCTTGCGCATCCCTTGGGTTCCGTATCGAGCACGTTGATAACCTATGACCTAGGTTATAAGATAGTAATCTTCAATCTTGCTACAGCAACCTTGCAATATTTGCAATACGGATCCACCGGCGCTAAAGCCGAAAAGTTAAGTTGTTGGTCCCGCAGAAACCCAATCGATACAAAAAAATATTTATTATACTTATACTTTATTAATATAGTCAAGCTTTTGTTCAATCGTTAAATGCCGATATTAGGATCAGCAGATCTTCTATCATGATTGGATAGATAAAATAGCAGGTTAATTAAGCGTAAAACACCTATCGGAAGAAGTGTTGTATCCCTAACCAGAGATTGCTATCAAGATTATTCGAAGGTAAATTATAATTGGGTTCGGAGGAAGAAAACGGCGAAGGAAAAGTTCTACGGCCGGAAAATATCTTTTTAACAATATTCATAACAACAAGATGAATGGAAACGCTGAGAAATAATATACTCATGATTAGATCAATAATATAACAGAGCCATTGAACGTAAAACACCTATAAGGAGACTCTCTTATATCCCTAACCAGAGATTGTTATTAAAATTTTTCGAAGTTGAGGTACTCCTGTAGTGTGTACCAGATTAGGGTTAGACAACAATTTCATTCCGAGTTTCCTTATTTTAGTTCTATTACGAGTTTGGAGACTGTTTGTGTTAGTCAAGTGAATATACCCCCTGTCCCATAGGCTTCCGCCCCTATACACAACTTAATTTAAAATAGGCGAACAAAATTATTTACCTCCATATTGGTACACATACTACTGGAGCGCCGAAGTTAAAGTATAGGAAATTGAAGTATACTTGGGTTCGGCGGCAAAAACTATATAAAGAACAACGTTTATTTTTTGTTGAATAGGAAGAAGGCGAAAAAAGAATATTACGGCCGGAAAATTTTTTGAATCAATATTCATAACAACAAGATGAATGGAAACGCTGAGAAATAATTTACTTTGATCTCGAAGATTTCTTCTCTTTCTCATCTAAATGTTCAGGACCGTTCGTTATGATGATGCCATTCGACTTGACTTTTGGTGGTAAGCTGAGGTAAAATAATAGTTGCTCAAAATTTGGTGATATTGTAACACTTACCATAAGTCACTAAAGTTATGATGCAAATGGCCAAGTCAACTAAGCCATTCAAAGGGAGTCTGAAAAGGGATTGGGAAGTAGAGCTTTGGACACTCCGTGTTGGGTGCAAGTATTTCTCCCAGACAACAATCTTTAACCAATAAATTCTACCTGCATTTCAATACTTCCGTATTTTCTATTGTCTTCGCCGAATCATTTTGAGTAGGCAATTCGGCACGAGGGTTTTGCCGGCAATTGAAAAAAGAGAGTTCAGGATAAGAGATAAATACATATAAATAGATATTATTACAGCATTAACAGTGGACTACTTTCACGCAAACACAGAGCGAGGCGGTTCTTGTTTACATTGCCGCCAGGATCGATCAGGCAGAACAAATCAACCAATAAATTCTAGTCTACCTGTATGACAATACTTTCGTGTTTGTTAGTGTATTCTCTGACGTTCCACTTTCATTGCTCTTGTTTCTATTTGTCATTGGTAATCGCCACAAAATTGAGAAAAAAAGAAAAGTTCAGGTTTATGAATAAATACGAGATATTACTACTTTTGCGCAAACACAGGGCAAGTCGGTTCTTGTTTACATTGCCGCCAGAATCGATCAGGCAGAAACAAATCAACCAATAAATTCTAGTCTACCTGCATGGCAATGCTTCTGTGTTTGTTATTGTAGCTTCTGACATTCCACTTGTTTTGATGTCTTCGATTATTTCTCTTCGCTTTACCGCTCCAAAAGTCCTGCTCAAAATTGGTTCAGATGTATGAATAGATACAAGATATTGCAGCATTACCCTTATACTAATTTCACGCAAACACAGGACAAGGCGGTTGTTGTTTACATTGCCGTCAGAATCGATCATGCAGAAAATCCACGTGGTGAGGTTGTTAACAAATCCGGCATGTAAACAAAAAGGTAAGATATCGCATAAAAAAAAAAATTGAAAGAGTCTGACAATTACCCGTACGAATGTTGGCCCCCGATCTGATATTCTCCGCCAGCGATATCTATCTTCGACGTTTCGCCGTAAACCATCGTGTTCACTGAGGATTAAAAATATATCCTATTTTACATGGATTGGAGAACAAGTCACAATATTGAGGTATTAGAAAAAACAATTCAGAAAAAATTGATATCCAGTTACTGTATAAATTCGACGAAGTCGAATTTGGCAAAACAATCGGTCAAAAACAAAACATATAGATTAATATTTGAAACAAATTCACAAGCATAATTATGATTAAATCATATGTCCGAAATTTTGTATAATATATTGAAGCAGGAGTAATAATAAACTAATAAAGTCCTTACATTCTTTTATGATGTTGCGATTTTCAGTCATCGGACCTGAAACAAAAGAAAATGAGCATATTTTATTTCTCCGAAGCGACAGTATTTACAATGAATAGCAAATTTCACTGAGCATGGAAGAGACTTAATGTTGTTGTTTTGTGACAAATTGTGTTATAATAAGCAACTAATAGACCTCTAGATTTGCAACTTTGATTGCTTAGAAGAAGTTGACAGAATGCTATTATATCTTTCTGCGATTATCCGAAAGTAGACCCAACATTTTGAGTGATAGTTAAATTCAACAATTCCCAACTGGGGGCCTGTAGCCGCCAATAGTGCCACCGAGCAGAGAAGGGCCACAATGGTAATTTTACTTTTCACTTCAGGAAACTTAACGTTGTTCCTGGTTCCATTATTTTCTAAAGTTATTTTACAAATATTTTTGTTTTCACGTTGTTGACTACAAATGTTTTGAACATATCGGGATTTGGTATAAATGCCACTATAATATAATATTCCACCAGAACGATGAACAGATATTTAAATAAACAATTGTTGAGTTTGGCGTTCAATTACAAAAAGCAAAATCATAAGCACAAGTATATAGTACAACCGGCAAAAGCATTTTTTTTTCAAAATTCAGATTGAAATAATCTAATTAGCATATAAATTATTAGAAAATCGAGAGTAAATTCTCATGCAAAAAAACTTTGAGGAGAACGACTACACGTTTCAAAAAATAACACAAATATTGCATTTACCTTTATAAATCTGGACCGGCCATTTCAAAGATCGTTTTTGGTGGAATTCGTTGACAAAATAGTCGTAAATAATCTTTGCCGGATCATCTGTCGTATAACTTAATATACTGTTGATTGAGCCGCCTTTCTCTTTGAGGAACTTATCACTGATATCCAAGCTTTGGTGATGATTTGGTAAAAAGTTGAACGTTGTAGGTTGAAAAACTTCCAGTAAAGAAGTGAAACGTTGGTTTTTTTCGAGCACAACTTCAGAACTTGGTGGGATGAGAATCTCGCAAAATCGATGTTTGTCAAGGAAGCTTTGAACGTGGTATTCCTCGGAAACGATGCAAACTGTGGTAAAGTTATCGTGAGAATCACAGCATAGAAAATACTGCAAACGGATATCAAAGTTTTCATCTTTCTTTATTGCGACCTTTTTACGACTGAAATGCTGACATTCAATTTCGACCATTTTGTTTTTGTGAATGGAAATACTTTGTGAAAAAGCATCGTCTACTGTCCTGTCGGAATAGCTAAACGCGGTTACAGTCATGTTTTTTATATTTATAGGTTTCTGAGCCCATGTGGCAAGACTTAAATGAGCTGGTTTATCTTCGGGAAAAGTCAATCCATCGGGAGAGCAACGAACTGTTGGTGTAATGTCATAGAATCCTTCTTCTGAGGTTGTGTATCTTGGATCAATGACCTCGATTGATATTTCCGTTGGTTCAATCAAGGCGCCAGCAGGTATCTTTAGAATTGCTGAGTTTCCAATTCGTAATTCACCTCCGTCGGGCCCTATATTTGCTGTATATATAAAAACACAAAACATGAATAGCACCTACATCAACTTTTTGTCGATTTATTAATTCAAATTATTCTACGAAAAACAAACACTTTATTGAGAAAACTATGTCAAATCAAAATACATTCGAAAGCGTTATCTCCATTCAAATCATGGGTTTATAAATAATTTTTAATTGGAATAAGTAAAGTTAATTTGAAGCTTTGGATCCCAAAAAGATTGCAACTCTAATTCGATATATACGACAAGCTTAAGTTAATACGAACCCAAATTGAACTGTTCATTTATATTAGATGGTGATACAGACTTGAGGTAGATGTTAGTTGGTGAGAACATTATAAAGTGAAGATCAAGCGGGGATGCTTACCTGAAGTCTTAGATTTAGGTGTCTGATGAATGTCCGTATGCTTCTTTGCTGTACACCATGCGTTCTGCTGATTGCATTTATTCTCAACTTCTTCCTATAAAATACCATTCCATTACATACAATTTGATTCGCACAATTATTTCCTATTAGGATATTTATGTTTTAAGATAACCTCAATCTCTATGGGAATTATTATTAGAAAACTAAACAAATGTATCTTGAAGTTTTAACTCGGGTATTAATTAAAGTTGGTAGCAACTGATTGTTATATATAAAAAATTTGTCGGTAATATAGTAGAAGCATGTCATGCCTTTAGTACGAGAATTCAATCAATGAAAACCAATGTTCATAATTGCAACAATATTTTCAATTTATATCATAAACCTCATAGATAAACTATACAACTTTTAGGTTTAAACTGCATGTAGATGGATAGAGACAAACAAAGCGTTATGCGTACTAATATACCTGAGAGCGCCTATGTTGCATACCCACTGGAACGAGTTGGAAATCAGAATCGCATTTTCTCGGTGGAAATGAACGTAATAACCCTTGCTTTTTGTCATCCATGACAATCTGAAAGGATATTTGAGTTGAACAAATTTATTGGTTGCGAATAAATAAACTGAATGTGGTTATATCGATTTTTATTAAACGCACCTTGTGAGCTCTGTCTAATAAATAATTCATAAAGGAAATCTTGGGCTTGATTTCTGTCCATGTCGAGTTGTTGGCTACAACCTTCAGATTTGTGATCTAGACAAATCAAACAAAAAATAGTGATTTGGTCAGTAAGTAACGTCTAGTTAAAAATTATCCCTGTCTGTCTTTGCATTAGTGAAAGAATCATGATTATCATTATTATGTCACCATGATAGGAACATATCAATTACGGGAAAGGAAAGGGGACGAGACGTTCCAATCGTATGGCGAACTACGGCCTTTCGTCCGGTTACCAGTCCATGTCATGTATGGATTAGTTAGGCAGTTATTTTGTTTTTAAATCCAATGACTTGATAGTGAAGAAAGCCGAAACCGGCCACAGGTTACGTAAACCACCCTACGGCGACGAGGAGCCCACCAATCCTCTCGCACATAATTATCGCCGCATAGGATTAGAACATGCGAATCCGCGCAGAGTATCAGAGATGTGTGATTACTCTGCGGAGACTGCCGTATTCCAAACGCTACACCGCCGATCATCGGACGTGTAGAGATGAATGGCCATTACAAGAGCGCACAACAATAAATTAATAAAAACGCTAGATTTCAATGAAACATACCACGTATGATTATACTTACACGTGATGCTTCATTAACCCAATCTCGAATTCGATCAATCTTCTGCTTCGTGTCTTCAAGTGTTTCCAAAACCAGTCGCTGCAGTTGAAATTACATTGAATTTGAATTTAAAATTTCGGGTTACTCTCATTTGAATTCGAGTAACTCTTATTTTTTATTTGAATTTATAGATGTCTAAACGAGAATAACTGAATTCTTCATATCATTTATCTGCTATAGTGTCTATAGATTTACTACAGCGACTGTATCTTGACTCTTACGATAGTATATAGCAGGGATACTCAACTAAATTTACCGAAGATCCGCATACAAACTTCCAAATTATTTGGGTCCGGTGTTTTCAGAAATTATATTTCGGTATCCGTAAACGCGCACTTCCTCGACCGGTTAAAGATTATCGGATAAGCAAGATTATTTATTATGGTCTTATAGTTCGTTTCATATGTATATTCAAAACAATAAAAGTCATTCTATAGAATGAAACTTTAAAAGTGGGGCTATTGTTCCAAATTAAAGAATTAGGTGCGGTCCGAATCAAAATACTCGAAAGGTCCGGATTCGGACGCGGTCCGACAGTTGAGTAGCCCTGGTATATAGGACGGTTTAGGTAACCTACGGCATGCGAACAGCATGCTTTAATATACTGTTCGTGTTTCTTCATCTCCGGTTTCACAATGTCAGTCATCATGAAATCCGTCACTCCTAGCGAATGGGAATAGTAAATGTGACGTCAAAGTCAATCTCCCAATGCGGCCCTTCGCATGAAACAATTTCTGGATGCCTCCCTAGCACAAAACGTAACATTCGAAACAGTCCACAGTAAATATAATAATACTTCTCGTGAACCCTGATTTTCATCTGAAAATGTTTCATTTACGGTAATTTGATTTAGTTAGTGCGCGTTGCGTTGCTGAAGCTGAGTTCTATAAATGGCAAAAATAAACACAATTCAACTCACCGCCGCTTCATTATTGTCTTCGTCTTCGAAAATATACTCATCATCCAAAGCAGCACGCGAATTCTAAAAAAAAACAAGTAAGTAGAGAGTAATTATGTTGATCACTAAAAATGTATCATGACTCAAATTGTGCTCCGGTGTCAGCGATGTAATTTAAAGAACCCTACTCAAAAACTTCAATATCAAAGAATCGGTTTTGTATTCCAACCTCACACGCAGACAGACTGACTATGTTTATCCTTATCTCTCATCTCACACCCAAACAGATAAGGTTTGTCCTTGATAATTTTGTATTGGCTCGCTAATCTTTATAACACTGAAGAATATGCGTAGACAGCCAGCCCCCCAAAGTATTATATTAAAAGGATAATGTATGTTTTTTGAAGAGCTATTTTAAGGCATTTACAGTAAGATAAAACGTAGATTTTTAACACTATTTTGCTCTATTTCTGTATCATTTACTGACAATTCGATATTTTTGGCATATGATTACATTCTCCAAAAGAACCAGCCGAGATAGATTAATAGCTTCTACAGCGAAGTTTGAAAAGAGCTTCTTATGGATGATTTTGAATATCAGTGGCCGCTTGTACCTAGAGCGAAAGGTGAGAGCAAGCCCTTTACCAAACAAATAAATTTTGCTTCAAAAAAATTAAATTTTTGACGGACTACGCCCTTGGTCACCCGAGATCAATGAAAAAGTAAAGAGCCTACATAAAAATAGCAATGGCAATACGTACCGACAAAGATAAGTTTCTCTTAGGAATGCCGTCCAGAGTATCTCTCAGATCAGATAAAGAATTTCTACGACGCTGTGAGTATCAGTAAGAGTATGTTCATAATACATTACATGAAATAGGATGGAGTGGGTACAATTTTGGCGAAGTTCCCAGTATGTTGGAAATCTATATAACGTGGCAGTCTATGTGACGAGGTAGGCAAAAAAGGGGAACTTCGCGTTTAGGATCTTAAACATTGCAATTACATGGGCGTATTGTGCTTTTTATTGAAATTTTATTTATAATAAATTAATCGATGTAATTACTGGTGTATTTGTATAAATAAGCTGAATTGATAATTTTTTGTACCAGCAAAGGCTATATAAGTAAATGCTACCAGAGGTGAATGGCATTTACATTTTATTTAATGAATAAAATTACCAGGGTAGTTGTTTAAATATGGCATTTTGAGACATTGGTTTTTTATTTCTAACTTCACATGCACCCATATACACGATGGGTTTATTCTTGGCAATCTTTTAGGCACTTTTCAAGACTCAAGAAATATAAACAACGGTCACTATGACCGACCTAGCGGTCCAAAGGTAGGCTTTACACTGACCTGAGGAAGGTACCGAAGAATTGGCAATCTTATCTTGGAAATACTTCCATTGATGTCGTTTGTTATATCTTCCAAATGAGATGAACCAATCCAACGACGTCGCTTAATAGAACACCCAGAATAGCTTCTCTAAAATGGAGTGGAAGTGGTGACTCCTCTTCGGCCCATGGGCCGGGGCCACGGCCCATCAAATTGGGCCTCGGCCCATCAGGCTATGGGCCGCGGCCCATCAAGTTGTGTAAAGAAACTATTCACTTGGCTAACACAAACAGTCCCCAAACTCATAATAGAACTATAATGTAAAAAATCTGAACAAAATTTTGCCCTAACCCTAACCTGGTACACATACTACAGGAGTTTATTTTTTTGGTTCGAATATTGACAATTTTGTAAAAATTGAAAATTTTGGTAAGATAATTGAATTTTTCCTGACGGGGCCGTGGCCCATCAAGCTATGGGCCGCGGCCCCATGTGGCCCAATTAGATGGGCCGTGGCCCCGGCCCATGGGTCGTAGAGGAGTCACCACCCCTGTAGCTAAAATGAGTATTAGGAGTATATCCAGAATCAAGCACATAAAACGTAAATCAGGTTCAGAATGTATATATTTCATATACATATTTCTGCATGTTGGTAACCTATAGGACAGGGATGGCGAACCTTTTTCAATGAATGGGTCAAAAATTATATTTTTATCGCGGGACAGGAAACAGTGGGTCACAAATATTTAATCAATGTTGGTATCTATAAGAAACTTCTGAAACAATTTATTTGAGCTTTTGTTGGTGTTGTTTTGGGCTTTACGGTACTTATGCAACACTTCTATCAGAAACCAATTTTATGAAATGAGAGTACGAAAACACGCACATGCATTACCAAAAACGTTTACGATGATGCGGCAAATCCTTTTACGGTTCCAAAGAGTTTGGTGGGAATTACACTCTGATAGCGTTATATTTTTCAACTGCATTAGGACACTTTTAAATTGTTGCTCCATTGTTATTTCAGTTTTCTAGGTTTTAATTTCAAGTCTGAAAGAGAAACTAATAAAATGCAAAGTAGCATCTAGTTTTCGTATAACCCCAAAAACAGTCTGCAGATGCACTTCCGAAAAAGACAATACGTTGCGAGAAATGAAAAGTTCAATTGCATTGTTATGTCATAAACGATGTCAGAGTCAATAGCTGAATAACGGTACACAGCCGTGCAGACATGCGTCCTGGATTAGGGGTTTTGAAAATTACCTTTTCAGCTCGGAAATTAGCAATTTGAATATGAGCTGTCGCAGCCCTGACTGCCCAACTGACGGTACATTATAATGGTTTAGTTATTGTTAGATTACTTTAATGCCGGTTTTATCAATTTTTTATCACTGATATGTTACATTTATTTTATTTTATTAGAGCCTTGGCGGGTCACGAATAAAACGCGGTGGGTCACTTTGTGACCCGCGGGTCAGTGGTTCGCCATCCCTGCTATAGGACAATGACTTCATGTTTCTGCATGTTGGTAACCTATGGACCTTTCCCCGAGCATCGACTTCCTTGTTTACTTCGTGACATTGGCCACTCAGCAAGATGCAAAAAGTGACATACCAATGCTCCGTTTTCGTATCCGCCCAGACACTTTTCTCACTCAGACAAATTATTTTCAAGCGCGGTTGTAAACAATACCTCGTTTTTGCGTTTTTTGAACTCTATTTGTTAGTTTTCAGTTGTGTTTCGGAAACTTAAATATAAATCAGATAGTCCAATACCACTCTGTCTTCCTAGGAGTTCTAATTTAATTGCAGTAATAAAAAATGAGTGTAGAAAGAGCTGAGATAGACCAGGGAAAAATTCTTTACCGGTACTTTTAAAAAACAGATTGTTGTATGCGATGAATCATAAATCTGGTTTGAAACACATACCACATTTTACAGGCGTCAGCTCGCAAAAGCACTCTCAAAATGACCCCGAAAATTTTACAAGGGTGAAGTATAGGAAGATTTGTTAGGGGGTCAAAGGTCGGAAAAGGTCCATAGACTGGTCATGGTCCAATGACTTCATGTTTCTGCATGTTGGTAATCTATAGGACAATGACTTCACGTTTGGGTAACACACGAACTGTTGCGACCACGCGGATACGTGAACGATTTTTCGGTTTTTTCTAACGAGTCAATTTTTTTGTTGTTTTTGTATAAATCGTACTGGATTGACTGTACGTATGTCTAAGTCCAATGGCTCCGTTATCAAAAAATTTTCAAGCACCTCATAGGTTGAAAGTATATTTTGTTCAAGCTTGCTGTGGCTTTTTTAATGCAAAGAAAAAAGCGACAGGCTACATTTCATTAGTACAACTCTGAAATTTGAATTTAGGATATCTATATTAGGGCGTAATCTTTCATGTTTAATACAAACCCCCAACAAAGGAGTGGCAGGTCTATTTTTCCACTGATGTTCATCATACTCGCCAAGGTTTACATCGAGCAGTGAACCATTTCGTTGTGACTGTTTGCTGCTGGAAAGTTCACTAAAATCCTAAAAAACATATTACAATTATTAGACAGTAGTCCAACTTTATGGAGCGGTTACTTTCTCATCGTCATAACGAAAAATAACTCTAGAGTACATCATGTGAGTTCAGTGTGATTATATAAAGACAGGTCGGATATGTAATAAGGCAAGGTAGGCTGAATCCTAGGAGATTTAAGCTTGAGAGGGCTGAACATTCAATTTTAAACAATTTTTACCTTTCAAGTCGTTTTTTAATTTAAAAAGCTTGTTTCAGTAGATAACCGGGTTAACATTTCATAAAACTGGAATTTGTCAAATTTTTTAAATTAGATAAATAATCTTTGTCTTTTTATTTCAATTTTTTTCTCTTAGAAAGAATAAAAAATCAAAAGGCCGAATGAATAATTTTGTTGAACTTTGAAAAAATCGATCCCAGCAAAAAATACTTAAAATATGACGTTATTATGACGTCTGGTTTTTGACACCGTGACTTTTAAATAATTTTAATAAGTAGTAATGATAAATTCTACCTATGTTTGAATGATCTATTATGGCGCCATAGTGGATTCCACATAGCTATGTGACGTCATTTCTAGAACAAAGGCCTTAAAGATGGCGTAGCCTAGGACCTCTCATGGTCCAAATCCGGCCGGGTATGCAGGGTTATGGCATTAGATAATAATAGTAAAATATACGTAAGAATAAGGGGGGAAATTATTAAGCATCATTCAGCGAAACCTATTATTCTTATCCGTCGAAATGTGTCAGTTTACTCGCCTATAGTGTAACCACAGTTGAAAACGTTTTACGCAATTCATACTCACCCGTTCAAGTCTTGACGTAACTGATCCAACAGAACTCGCGAAGGACGATACGGACGTAGGCATGACTTGTTATTTTAAACAGTAAACCTTTGAAATATCTGCACTAGTAAAGCGAAATCAAAGGTCACATTTTTGTTGACAATGTTATAAAAACAGCAATACATAATTTTATTGAATCATTTACTTATAAACTGAATTTTGGGGGATATAAAATACAAGACTAACTTCATGCTGACACCGGAATATTTCTTTGATGACTCAGATTTAAATTCTAATTTCCTAGTGTTTATGCCAATGAGCTTTCGTCATCACTCAGTTGAGAGTTCATTCTAAAAAAGTAGCAAGTTTTACCGATTTGCTTGCTTTTCTGCCTTCGGACTCGCAGCCTCATTGTCGAGTGGCACATATGTTTTTGGATAGTTTACATCAAACATATACCAGTATACAGGGAAATATTATTCCCCTTCTATTGTACTATCGAAGTATATACAAAGAGTCCTGGCGATAACGCACACAAAGAAATTACCGCTTATATGAAGCTACAGAATTTAAAGTAATTCTTTCGATGCGAATGCGATCATAGGATTTTCTGACAATTTCATTTCTATAGAATAGACCGTAAAAGTCATATTTACTCTAATCTCAAATACACTCTGACCTACTGTCAATAACATTAACAACTGCAACGTTGTCGTCACTATTATAAGTTGACCGTTCTAGAACTAACAACATATCTTTGCTTTAACGCCAGGCCATTATAGCTATACGCAACCACCAAAAAAATATATTCGTGTGATGGTCTGACAGAAATTAGCATTGCATGACCGGGGGATTTACCAGGTTTGAGAATCAGGTATTTCGCGGGAAAATTTATTCTCTCTACGCGTCAAGTGACATCATCATTATACAAACATAAAATTTCCCCCAAACATTCTAATATATTACAATATAATCATATTTCCATCTTATTCTATATCTTTTACCAACGCCGGTACAAAAGAGACAAAAATAAGTTAAACCAATCAATGTGAAACACTTTCTGAATATTGGCAGATATAAAAATGTCAAACAAAGCTTCCCACTGCCTTTCAAACTCGTTTTTTTAAAATATCTCAATATTGTTGATCAGCCTGGCAAATAGGACTCAATTTGGTCCAAACGACGTTGAATGGAAATGTGTGGGCATTCTGCGTAAGACCCACTGTTGAAAATTGATTTCATTTATGCCATTTTTTTCCTAACAGGTATAATTTTTTAAATATTAACATCTATTATTAGAGCACGAATAATTTATTGGCTTCTGTACCCTTATATCAATGAATTAACAAACTGTCTTGTACAACACAACGGCAGCTTGCCCACGATCTTGCTCACGGGGAAGAATAAGGTATATTAAATCAAGAAACCTGTCGGGCAGAGATTTTTAGAGGTATTCAGAATCCCGACTAGTCAGTGACACAGACGAATTAATCTCGCCTCGAACTGCGACGCTGTCTTGTTTTGGAAATGAGCAATAACGGGTCTTATTTGTTCGAGAACTTATCTTAGTCCGTTAAGCTTTGATCACAATATAAAAAATAACATTCTGTTTCAAAGAAAAACACTCGAGACAAATTGCACGATACTTAGGATTAGCCCCAGTTGCATCCGTCTCACCAATCATCGTTTCGGTATAGCTTCGCCTTTTATCGGCCAGACTGCAACTGACGTGTCGTTTAGTTCAGCGGTCGGCCTGACCAAAATTTTGGCGGACCACCTTTATACAAATTACAGACGAACTAAACTAACAGTCTAATGCAGGGGTGTGCCACCTTTTTCGCAGGCGGGCCAAATATCAATAACCGGGTAAAACCGCGGACCCACTTTTATTTAACATAGGCTATCTATTAGTTGCAGACAAAAAATAGTGTATTTTTGTTATTGATCTCAAGTCATCATTTGGGGTCCTTGCAGAAGACGCACGAATTTGATAGAACCATAAATCAAATATATTGTCACGCCCAATTTAAACGAATTCAGTGAGAAATTTGCTGCTGGATTCTTTTCCAGACTACTTTTATCCAAATTTGCTTAAAAGGGAGGTCCTAGCAATTCGATGAGACGCCTATTTTAGAAAAACTATGTAACCGAAAAGTGCCATATTTGAAGCCATGACTTTTTTCAAATGTGGAAAGTTATCTTAGTTGAGATGTTTTTGGTACAACACGCCAAGATTCATTTCCAAATACTTTGCTGTCAAATCTTATTCTAGAATAGATTTAGACAAAATCAACTGTTATAAATCCATTAGCATCTGCTCCGCATTTTTCTTTAAATTGTTCGCTGCTCGAAAAGTAACAGCTTTGTGAATCGCGCTGTTCGCTTCGCTGTTAGGACGTTGTAACGTCATAGGCATAGATAATAAATAGGACTCGAATATAAGATTTGCAACGTGAAGGGAATCGGATAAAACTAAATTAAAAAACTAGTTTAGCTTGCCGCACACCATTCAAAATTGGCACATCTCCGCGGGCCTCACTTTGTACACCCCTGGTCTAATGTAATAAATTATATACGTTAGAAAATGTAGTGGCGCGGCCCGGTGGTGGCCGACCACTGGTTTAGTTAACAGCAGCACTCGTTGTGACGGAATCGGGAACAAGCGTACGGAATGGGTGAGCAATATGGAAAATTTGAAAAAAGACAAGGTCGTGACTTGCAGTTCTTGCACAATACTCTAGTATCCTCAGTAACAGCAGTTAAAAATATATTGAGATCATGTAAGATCAAATCAGGTGGGGGTTAGGCATGACAGAGGGACTAAGCAAGCGAGAGGGTACAAATATTTATGAGAAAATGTGAAGTAAAACAGAAGCAAGTAGTTCATAACAGGAAAATGTATGAAGAAAAATGTGAAAAAACGCAGGTAATACTCGGTATAACACAGCATAAGGAATGGTCGCTTATATATTCTGAAATAGTCTGGAGTTTTGCAAGCCTCCTCTATTTAACTGAAACATCAAACTGCATAACTACTACCATGACTGGAGTAATATAGGGAAGAATGTGTTTCTAAAAGCCTATCACATCAATACAAGTTTCAATAAGTACACGATGATGCACAAAATGTTATTTTTACACAAATAGGAAGTCATTTTTTATCATATACAATGAGTTATTTTATAAAACTGGAATATAAATACTACCACGAAAGACAGTGGTTAGAAGTGTTTTTATGATTTTTTTCGCTACGAACAAGTAGGCCCTGTACCAGCTCACACTGGTATCTAACGATATGTAAGTGCTTCATAAAATAAATTGCAAATTGAAAAATGTATGAAATCGGGAAAAACCGTCTGATTGCAATATAAACTGTTAAAAGCAATGAATCATTTTTTAAACACTTTCATTTTCCTTGCGAAAGACCTAAGACCGCCCAAGATCACAAACAAGGTATTTGGGCAAGCTCTAAATGCCTTAAATGTGGATACAGATTTCATGTCCGCTATCGATCAGACAACAATACTGAGCATCTACCAAAGATAATAATACCCCATGGAATAAAGTCGGATTATATGTTCAAGAGCGTGTAGGCCGAGTGCTAAATTGAACACGAAGTAGTTTATGAGAGATAACGACCATCTTCGAATATCACCACTTTTGGGCGCAATCACGCCCAAGCTAGATGAATTAAGATCTGTTATAGCGCAAAAGCACGAACAAAGGAAATCAGATCAGAAAACGTAATGATTACGTAATTATCTCTGTTCGTAATCTAATGTCAGCTATTGGTGCATAAAACAAGTTTCCTTGGGGATCAGATAGAATATGAAGACCAGAACGACGCATTGTATAAGGACATGTTGGATCGGGCTCTATATCCACGCTTGTTTCAGATTGGCTGTTTTCACTGTTTGCTTCTATTTCTTTCCTTGCAGAAGCGTTCAGTTCGTTATGTAATTTCTTCCAGGATCTCAGTGGCTTCTTATTTAATAATTTGCTTTCTGTTGTCTCCTTCCACAACTTCATATCTTTCAGGGATGTCTTGACAATTTCGTGAGTGTGGAGGTTCTTGCAAGCAATGAATATCTGTGTGAGAAAAAAAAATAGAAGTTGAATGTTGATGAAAATTGCATAACGATCAAGAAGGAAGGAATATGTATGGTTTATTGAGCTGCTGACATCTTCTCTTTGTTTACCTTATACTTACCTTATACGGATCCTTTTTTATCCGTTGCCACAATAATGGGTACTCCCGAAGTATGTGAACCAAGATAGCGGACACCGGAACGTAGTATGTGTACCAGGTTATGATTAGGCCATATTTATTTTATGTACAAATTCTACGGGAGTCACTTGGCTAGTGCCAGAACTTGTGATAGAAATAAAATAAGGGAAAGTGGAATAAAATAATGGCCTAACCCTAACCTGGTACACACACTACGTCCCGGTGTCCGCCATCTTGGTTTACATACCTCGGGAGTACCCAATAATGCTTTATCGATTAAGTATATTAACAAAAGAAATGAGAATAACATATTAACTTCATGAAACTTCAAGTTCAAGTTAAGACTAAGTTAGTACTATATTAATAGTTTTCCATTCTTGTTAACATCCCTATTTAGTGTAAACTGTAGCGCGGACAATTCAGGTAATAATAGTTCCAACGAGTGACCAATGAATGAATACAATGAATATCGTTAAACACGCTCTAACTTTCATGCTGTTCATTATTGAATGTCAATAAAAATGGAGTAAAGAAAGGTGCAGTTAAATAATAAGTATCATTTTAATAAAATTCCTTTCAGGCAAGATCCCTATTTTGGACTAAACTGAAATGCACCCGACTGAAGAAATAATTCACATTAAGAAAAGGTTTTGTATACGTTAATATTGAAATGGCTTACTTTACTTTCGTCTCTGTTTCTACAGCAGCAACAACACGAGCATGAAAAACAAAGGAATCCACCAGGACCGAAGCAGCATTTACAGCAGGGTCCAAAGACTTGTTCTCTTGTGAAACTCGATGATTTATGAACCATGAAATGATAAATTGCACACGAGAAACATCCTATTGCTAAGGAACCGAGCACGACATAAGTGACAGTGTAGTATTCGTATTTTGCTAATTCGACATTGGAGATCCACGAGGAATTGCCCTGTAAGATAAAGAACTAGATTAAATATAACTTTTGTGATTTCGAAAAAATATGAAAATAGTATCGATCTCATAGTTTTTCTAAGGTTAAATGTTAGGTAACATGAGTGTCTCGGAAATATCGGTTGCAGCAGCGCGGCCAGGAATTTTCAAAAGAAAGGGGAATTCTGATCTTCCAATTGCCAAGTGAGGTCGTAACAGCTAGCGGGTCCGAGACGTGAGTTTTCTAGAGTCTTGATTGTCTAAAAAGCTTTCAGCTACGAAAGGTTTCTTCTATACAGAAAAAAGGTTTTTTTTTACATTTCGAAAGGGGTGGTCAGACACTCAACCCCCTGGCTACATCCCTGCCCGATTGTCCTGATTTAATTAGTGAATCTCGCTTTCTATAAATATCCTAACCTTCCTCCAAAGTACGAGTATCATACTTATTCTAACGCGAGATGTGTAATTTATGTTCAACATAGTTAAATAGAGTGGTTCATGTAACCGCCGGTCAGTTACGGCTTCCTCCACCATCAAGTCCATGCATCTGAAACAAATAACTGGCCAACTTATTCCATACCTGACATGGACTAGTAACCGAACGAGAGTACGTGGTTCACCATATGACTATGCCGTCTTATCAGCTTGCTTCTCCCCCCGGATAAATATGTAAATCCTATCCCAAGTCTTACGTTTCAAACTATAGGCCGGATCAGTTACAAAGACATGCAAATCTTGGCAGAAGTTAAGTTAGTTAAGACGTGAGAAATACGTCAAAATATAAATTTTATGAGGCAGATTTTTCGATACACGTTTACTAATGCTTACCTGAACTGTAAACTCTGGCAAAGACATTAATATCAGTGGCATTAACATCATTATACAATTTTCTATCGTGTAGAATAAATAATAAATTATTTTATAGAACTTTGGTTGATCGAGAACTTCTTCGCATTCTGGTTTTATGTGAATAAAAACGCTGATGATGCTGTGGACGAAAACGTAAACAAAACTTGAACTTTGTCGATGATAGGTTGATACTCGGTAATGGTGCATAGTCTGTGTGATGCAAAAAAAAATAATTTTAGTTTTTAAAGGTGCAGAAACTCGAAGTAAATGCCTAAATGGTAATAAAAGTAAATTTCCTCATGCAGGTTGTGAGAATTAAAACAATTCTTGGAGGTGAATTGGATTCATTATATAACGCCTGTGTTATCGCTCGAATATGGAGATTTTAAAATAGGCTTGAATTTGGTCCAATTTACCGGACAGCTCCTGGCCTATCAGTGGCTCTTTTTCAAATGCCTTGTTCGTAATAAGATGTAAATATGCTCCATGAAACGATGATTCTGATCCTTTTCGAAGCGTAAATAGCGTACTCACTATTCTAGTGGTACTCAAACGATGGGGGGCGCCCCACAAAAGGGTTGTAGACACTTTTTTGATGGGGACGTGAAGATAATTAAAAAAAAATACATTTTTTAGGTTTGATCTTGTCCGCCTTATTTTAGATATTTACATTTCTTTACTTAAAGATATTTATGTTCCATCCACGTATTTCCAACGTGTTTTTTTAATAAAACATACTTTTGCTTTACTATGTGGTATTTGTAGCTAATCATTTTTAAGGTGGGGCGAAACTTGACAAATTCCAAAAAGTGGGCACCGCTTAAAAAGTTTGAGAACCCCTGGCTATTTGAAATAGTAAAATTGAAAAGACGAAAAATTAGAAAAGTGCTAACATAAATTTATTTGTTCATTTGAATAGCATATGGAAAATATTAATTTTATTAAAATTTTAACAATACACAATACTATCTCCATAGTATCTATGAAGACATACTACTAAGTCAAGGCATTTTAGCTAATAAATAATATACAATGTTCTTACGCTATTCTGATTGATGTAACGTCTGTACGTAAAGAATACAAACAAAGCGATCCAGTGAAGAGCTGGTACTATGATCGCAAACCATTCATAAAATACTATGAAGTAACTTAGAGAGAGTGCTCTTGTGCCGAGGAAACATACGGTGTAAACCTGAATAATGAAGATAAAAACACTTTAACAAACTTGGGATTGCGTAACTATGCTCTAACTAAGTTACAAAAATACACTGAATATTTATTCACATATCTGGTTGCAGTAATTATTGTAACTTTGTTTTTTGAATTTGTAAAAACTATATCAAAAATGTCTATCTATTCCGTAAATTCGACTATGCTTTGCAGCAGTGGTGGGCAAACTGCAACTCTGGTTTAATATCATGAGGTAGTATGTATATGCAGTCTACAATGACAGGTTACACTTGTTTTTAAAGATTTGACAAAATTTGGTATAAAATCACGCAGTGGCCGCCTAGTGGTATGAGCAGACCTTACACTGAAAGAGTAAAAAAAATTCAATCGGCAATGCCGAAACGAGAAGATATTACAGTAGTTCCTCACCCCACAGTGACCGCTTAAACAGCGCCGTCTTCGGAGCAAGTAGTGCATGTTTAGAGTAGATTATAAAACATTTACTGCGGTTACTACTACAACTTCAACTTACCGAGATTAGCACGATCTGCGGAATATTAAGCCTCGTTGACTTCGATCGTAACGGCTGGTTTTGTCGTTTTGAACTGACAGGTTGGCATTCAGCTTCTTTTGCTTTGATGACGTAAAAAATTATGCCGACACAAAGTGAACCAAATGAAAATGATGATGAAGCAATCAAAAGATATCCTTCGTTTGATAGAGATCCTTGCTCAGTGAAAATAACTTGCGGTGAAGTCATGATTACGTGAATTGTGAGTAGTAGCTGCAGAGAGAAAGAATAAACTTTATTTCGTCAACCAGTGTACAGTCATCGTAAAAATAAAAATAAAACAACAAGCAATCATTTTTCGGTATCGACAGAAGGTTTCGAATTGTGATACGACCATCTAAGTCGGTGGTTCAGAATTTTTTGTTAAATTCCTATATTTGCCTATTTTGGAACTCTTAATTCTTCCATCCCAATTAGTAAAAATACTTCATTATCTACATTCAATCTTTATGAATACTTATCTAGTTTTGGCGCAAGTAGGACTCCTGTTTTTGTACAGTTCAATTAGTTTATTAGGTACTCCCGTATTATGTGTACCAGGTTAGGATTAGGCCATAATGTTATTCCGATTTTCCTTATTTTAGTTCGTGGACTGTCTGTGTTAGCCAAGTGAATATACCCTCTGTCCATATGTTCCAGTACCTTTACCCAACTTGATGTAAAGTGGGCGAAACAAATTAGTTACCTCGATATTGGTACACACACTTCTGGAGCGCCGTTTATTATGTGTTCATGAGTGAGTGCTACAGTAATATTTAAAAAACCTGAATAATACTGGTAATACTAAAGAGAACACAGCGAAAAATTCCCTGAAATATGAATTCAACGCCGACATTTTTATTAAATGGTGTTTCTGGTTCAAAGTTCCCAACAACGGATCGGTCATTCATTCTGTTAACGGAGTGGAGACACTGGGCGCAAAAAAAAAATTCTATTCAGCATAACCTACTCAATTGGCAACGCGTGAACGGATTTTTGCGACTACAGCAATGACAATGGAAGCTAGCAAGTTAATTTTTTAATGATTATCAGAACCACAATCTCTCAAAAAACTTAAGGTGCATCTTACCTGCGGCATTGACTCGAATACGCTATTCCATAACTTATACAAAGTCAGTTCTGTTATGAAATGAGACAACGATCCCCCCATCAACTTCTCTTCTTGTGAAGGACAACCGCTTTTTCTGTGAAACAGAAAACTTATCAATAACATAACCACATAAATAAATAAATAAATACAAGGTTAAAAATCACCAGAATGAAAAAATACTGCTTCAGTCGCAGAAAAGATTTACCCTACTAAATGGGTGATGGCCTAGCGGTTAAAGAGTTAGAATTAATTTTGTTGGCATCTCGGATTAAATATATCGGGTTCAAATCACATGCTCCCACCTTACGCAGTGTTTGATAAACTGGGTAGGCAGTACCGAACCGAAAAGGAACTTGAAAAAAAAGAGTAATTCCTTTCATATCTTGCGATATCAGAGGACGATTGTGAAGGACCTCACCCAGGATAAAAGTGTGTTGGGGTACGACTTATACATCGGCCATCGGTCTTATCCAAACGTGGTTTTTGTGTATATTTGTATCTATCTTACCTCCATTTTGCAAATCTTTTGAAACACGTGAATGAGAAAACAATCTGAAGCCATATCATGTACAACTTCAATGGAACATTCGCGACAAATATGACGAACTAAAATTTAGAAACAAGATAAGTGATAACATGCAATGCTCTTGTGAAAGTTTTTTTTTATATCCGAAGCCTATTATATATTCAATTGAAACAAAATAAGTTAAAAGGTGGGTTGAAAATTAAAAATGACTTTCAAACCAAAAGGCACCTTACTCGTTGTGTAAAAATTCCGTAGGTCAAGCCTAAGGTAAAACCTTATCGAATATGTAATAGCATTTAGCATCAGCACGTAATGTTTTAAACGTTCTTCAAAAAGATGCTGCACAAGATCTAATAAAATACGGTTTTGTAGGTTTTCCAACGTCCATAATGATTTGAATAAATTTTGATGTTCCTATACGCTTTTCAAATTTTCATTATTCTCGAAATTAATTCTAGTTACGTTTCAAAATAAAATGAGTATAAACTAATAAACCGACCTTTATGCAACATGAGGTTGTTGAAGTTGTTGTATTTCTGATACTATCATCTCTTCTTCGAATGATACCGGCGGTTAAAAGTATGGGAGGAATGATTAGAAAGACGAGAGATAATCCGAATGCAACCATGCGGTCCGTCAGATAGTATTCTCCTGTTATAAGAAATGTATGATATGTTAGAAAAATGTTTATATTCACATATCGTAATATATGTTAAAACTTGGGTCGTCACTTATTTAAAGCTTGAAAATGTAATCATGACTGATTTTAGTTATGCAAAATTATTTGATGCTTCTTTTGATGACGTTTTTAGGTTGGCGCTGATGCTTATAAACATTCTCAAAAATATTTATTTGCATGTCATTTGAAAGCACTGATACCTAATTTTACTTGGTCTATATTATTTTTTGTTACTAGATTTCCATTTCAGCAACTAAACTGAAACGCCGCGAAAAATAAAATTATTGTTGTGTTATTTGAAATTTATCTAAATAATGGAATCAAAATTTAAAACCCGGCAAATTTCACGCATACGGTAATCTGGAAGACGAGCAAATGTTAAAAAATATGACTACGTGAAAAATGTCTCCGAACAGCTGCAGACTGCAATTCTCATACATCATATATAATTTATTGCTGACTGGTCATTGTTACGGAAATTAGCAAGAAAGTCGATGCAAGGGGAAAAAAACATCTATGGTAACACACTGCAGAGCAATACATGATAAAATCATGGTCAAAGGTTATGCAGTTAAACTGTATTAGTTATTCTTACTGCACGAAATACACAATCAATATCAAAATATCATATATTATAATTCTTAAGTGATTCAAAAAGTTTGTTGGTATATTCATTGTGTCGAAATGTGTCGGTGGTTTGCACTACAATACACAATAACCATCGATTCTGTTATATATGCTTCACAAAAACTGAGATTCATTAGAATTTATATTATGATAATCATTCTGTTATTAAAAACTGTGATTTGCAAACTTGTTGACAACTTGGCATGTTCATTGTGGCGAATGCATTCTCTTATATATCAAAATAGACAACCTTATTGCTATGTATTGGCCACTGAAAAAGACAGACCTTCACTTTTGTAAATATTATTCGTGTCCAGTTACAGATTAAATCGCTAGACAGTCATTGCAAATTATCACACAACAAGGAAGGTTAAAAGACGTTATAGACTTTAGACGTTATCGACACTGTAAACGACAAACAAAGTCCTCGTCAGTCATATAATTTACACGGATAGTTCCGTCATACCTTATACACACATAAGGTAATAATTGAATACTTCAATTCAAATATTCGTGAACTCAACATCCGCAATATACATATGACATTGTTAAGCTAATGTTTGGACATTGCATGCATGAACAAAGAGGACATAAAAAGCACCAGCCTGTCAAATAACTAAATATTCAAAGTACAATCATTTTACTAAATTATCGAAGTGGCAATACCAGTAGAATATTACAAGTTGGGCGTCTATTTCCCCACAATAGCGGTGACTCAGAAAGTCCTCGTTTAGTAATGTGCTATGACTATTTTTAACGCGAAGGCTAAATAAAAAGTCAATTATATGTTGTCTGAATACCTTGAACGCTTTCGACTAATATTAACGCAGATGTTGTCCAATAATGCGGAAAAGTCAAAGAATATAATTGAATAGAGGGCGAAGTTAACTTAGCCAGAACAAAAGTTGATTGGGAGTTGCTCAACATGTAATTGAGACTATTTCAATGGCTTCGAAATATGGCGTTGCGCCAACCTAGTGCACACAATTATGGCCGAGACAAAAGCAAGTCTTTCAGTGAAGTCCTGATGCCAACCCTTATCATCACACACCAAATTTGAGCTATTTGATCCGGTCATGCTTTTCGAGTTACTCCTTGGCAGGCGACAATGCTGCTTGGTGATTAAAGCAGGGACCGGAATCAAAAATGTAAAACAAAATGTTAAATATATCAATTTTTTTTAAAAACAATAAACGAACACAGCCTAGTAAAACTGTTTGACAAATCGTCTAAAATATACAATTGTGACATTTTGAAGTCGCAAAATATTAAGTCAACCGCGAATCGGTGTATTGACTCAGTTACATTTCGTTCTATATATAATTGACATAGAACATCATGTAAACATTATTTTCAGTTCTTATTTGTACATCGGTCTATGTGGATGCAGTGAACGAAAACGTTTGATTACATGCACAAATGTACAGAGTATTTATATGAAAAAGATTCAAATTATAAAGGTTGATAATGCTAGATGTGTGCATTCTGGTACGGCTCTGCTATTTCGATTTTCAGGTGCAATATTGACATTGAAAGCATATCGAACACAAACACATCCGACAATCATTGCAAATTAACACACAGCGAGGAAGGTTATTGCCGTAGTGTAGACACCGTAAACTACAAACAAATCCATATAATCAACATTGATAGTTCCGTCATACCCTATAAACACTGAATTGAATGTCTTTAATTGGAATATTCGTGACATCCGCAATATACATTCAATGATGACATTGCCAAGCTAATTGTTAGGACATTACATGCTCGGACGAATAGAACTTAAAAATGCAGCGTCTCCCGTTCGTCTATTTTTTCTATTTTTTGCACAATGGATTTGCCCTAAAAAGCACTCGTTTAAAGCGTTATGACTATTTACGAAGGCGAAATAAAAAGTCAATTATATGTTACGTATAGAGCGCGGACGCTTTCGACTAATATTTAGGCTGGTGTCGACCAGTGAAGCGGAACTTCAATGAATAGAATAGACGGCGAAGTTAACTCAGTCAGAACACACAAAGCAAGTTAATTGTTGTGAGTTGCTCAACACGAATTGAGACTATTTCAATCGGTGACCGTACATTTAAACCCACGTACCATGTGTATATCCGCGGGTTCAATCTATATGCGTGTGCTAAAACCCATGGGTTAGGGTTAGAATGGGCTCAAATGTCCGCAAAACGAAAAATTTTGACGGAGACAAAAGCAAGTCTTTCAGTAAAGTTCCAAAGACAATATCTAATATTACCCGTATAATGTAACGTACATGGGCTATTTCATCGGGCGACAATTTTAAGGTTAAGTACTGTCCTTCCCCGGACATTCAGAGTCATTACCGTACGTTATTGTATGTATTTGTGTATAATTGCCTCGAAAATTTGATCTGTTGTACAAACCCAGGAATCAATAAAAAAATGTGAAATCTTTAACCTGGAAGATAGAGAATTTTTAATTTCCATTTTCAAATTTTTTAGTAATGGATAGAAACATTAACTTAAATTCCAGATTCTAGCGGGCAGATTAGTGCTCATGAAAAATTAATGGCAGTCGGGTTTTAACGAATATAACAGTCGTTTTCGAAGCGCATGCAAGATCCAAACTGATCCGCATGAGAAGGCTGGAAAATTAATAAATAAAAGCTTAATAGTTTAATGTCACCATCCACAAAGGATGGTGACATTGGAAAGCATCCAAGGCGTTCAAGTCAGTTTGAAATTTAGGATTTTTCAAATGCCTTCCTGTGAGAGAGAAACCTTAACAAGGTGGGCTGATATTTCTCTCATTAGTTACTGCTGATAATCAGCTTAACGGAACAAAAATAAATAAATAAAAAGTTACGAAAGACGTAATCGACCAGTGGTTGTCAAAACCTCATGTAACAACGAAATGGTGATGATATAATATAAAAAACAGCGATTTCTGGAAACAAGTTGAATATAACCACTTTTTAAACTTCTTAAAAATTAAAAACGCTGTACCCGAATACAATCTAGTAAATCTGTTCAACAGATTATCCTAAACAGGCATTTGGAACATTTTGGAGTCACAAAATATTACGTCAATAGCGAATCGGTTCATTGACCTCAGTTACATGCCGTTCTATATTTTCGACATAGAACATCATGTAAATATCATTTTCAGTTCGTTTTTGTCATTCGGTCTTATGCGGTGAACGCAAACGTTTTATTATAAAATAATCCAAGTGATAAAGCTGAAAAAGCCGGATAATGTATGTATAATCTGGTACAGCTTCCAAATTTTGATTTTCTCTCGCAATTTTTATATTAGAAGCATATCAGGTAAAAAAATAAAACCATGTGCTAGGCCACGATACCTTCCAATTAGCATACAACAAGCTTTAAAAACGCCACTTCCAATCTTTTTTGCTGACATCCAGTCACACAAAGAATGCAGGCTATATAGCACTGCTACTTCGGAATTTTTCCATTACTCACACATAATAGACAAAAGACGCAAAAGAACTAACTGTGCATGTTTGTGATTGGAATATACGTATATATGTAAATTTCCGATTTGTTATATATAACAAACCACACTAGTCATTGAAATGGCGATTGGAAACCATATATCCATCCCTATTGTTGACTGCAAAATGGGGCATATTGGGTTACACGCATATTCAGTTATATTGCCAGAGATAGAAAAATCTGGAATCTGAAAAAGCGGTAGGTTAGTTTGTTCATAATCAACACTAAAAAAACTCAAACTTCCAAGGGTGTTGCACTGTTATTAAGCCAAAATATAATATCAATGGCATCTTCAAAAGCATATTTCCATCCCTTAGTTTTAAGCAAAGGGAACGATCATGCTTTTAAAATACAAATTCAGAACTTTTGATTTTGATTAGTAACTGACTTACAATAAATAGAACTTTGTTAAAATTTACGAGGCGCATCGAACCGCATTACATATGTTATTCACAAGTAGTAAGTAAGTACATTTCAAGCTTTATTATGGTAGTAAGAACTAAGTGTCATATTAAATTCTAAAACATATAAAATATGTCACTGTCAGTTATGGTTATCAATTGTTGAGTTTGTTTGTTTATCAATTGTTGAGTGAAGAAATCAGTGTACTTACGTGCTGTTAATACATCTGTTGCAATATCGGCGATTGAAATAATAGTAACTCCTAACATGCAGAATCCAGACAGTAATAAACTTGTTGATTTTCTGAAAAAGATTGATTTTTTCTTCTTTTCTGAACAGCAAGGTTTCGTCTCATCATTCCTGTTTCTCCGCATTTTGTCATCTCGTTTTGATCGCTTGCATGCGCCATTTTCACAACATTGTTTATTGCAGTTAGAACAATATCCACATGTGTCATTTGCAACCCTTACAGAGCGCGGAGCACGTTCTGGATTTGCATTTCTATTTTCCATGCAATTTTCGTCCATTAATTCGCGAGTAACGTTGCTGCTTTCCACTATACCACGTACTCCGGAGGATTGATTTTTAGGTGTGTACCGCACCTCTAATGCGGTGTCATTCGACATTTCTAAAGCGATTTAAACCTGTAAAAAGATAGCGTTGAAATTCAATACGAGTATAGAAGAGATAACACAATTTGCCATTTCCCCTTCGCCCATTTATGGTATGTCATGTAGGCAACTAAAGGGGTTAGGACATTTTATTAACAATTAAGCCATTTCCTGTTATGGTTTTTGTCGTTAGTATGCCACTTGAAGCCTTTTAGGTATATATAGCTATAATTGACATTTTCCTGATTCGATACATATTATTTAAGTAATTTTCGTCATGACAATACACCAACATCGGTAATGGTGGTAGGGGTATGGCTACATCTGAAAGACCATATACTCGACACTTTTAGCCATTCACTTAGAAGAAGGCCAGGCATCACAAATAAAAAATACCACAATTTTGCAGAATCTTGAAAGTAAATCAACGCAATTCGGCGACTCCAATGTTAGGATTGTTAATGAACATTTTCCCCGTGTTAAATTAATCGACATTCAGTCTATGCGTTCTATCGACTCACTAAAACTGCAAAGTTCCATAGCACGTGGATGCGTCGAGTATGAAGCGAACATAATTTGCCATGGCAGACCTCTCTTTAGTAAAAATGAAAACTTCCAGATCCAGATATCTATTTATAATTGCCTGATCTAAGTAGCCTTTTCCTGAACGTAATAGGGTAAATACGTATTTTTGTGGGGGCAGATATCACATGCTCGGGGTGGTATAAATAGCAAACTATAAGATACGAAGTAACACAAAAAAAACTCAATACATTAGTTGGTGAGCTGAACAACTAACAACACGTTGGAGGGTTTATATACGAAATACGGTTATTGGAATATAATATTCTCGCTCGGATTCCAACATTAATCTGATCATTGATAACCAGGCACTTTGGATCTTCCACAGAATAATTAACGTAATCCCGATATTTAGACTAAACTCAGATTGTAATAATCGAATTACGGCGTTCCAGTGTTCGTCGTCAAACATGGATAATGGAGGTCAACCTCGGTCTTTGATTTTTAGCCAAATTTGGTGAATATAAATGTCGATGTCAAGCTTATGTATGGTAAGTCGCTCTTATAGTTTCCTTTCCTGACAAGAAAAATCACACAAAAAAGTAATTGAGCTCTCCTGCAGAATACCATTCGCGGAAGCACCTCTAATCCATTCTGACAATAGGGTCAAGGTCGACTGAGCAGCCTGGTTGATATATCGGCAAACTGTCGCAAAATATCACATATATATATATCGAAGGCACGTTTTTCTCGTACTATGTCTAACATATAAACTTGCATTAATATACCTATATGTCTGCTATATAAACTGAAGTTATCGCGATATCAGCGAAGTTATATTATTTAGCGATATTAGTTTCAGCCTAATTAAATCATTCTTACACAATCAACAGTAACACTGATATCTTCAATCGCTAAACAATGAAGTAATCAAGTAAGTCTTTGTTAAAGCGATATGATATCAGTCTGGACCGTATACCTCCAGGCTATTCGACGCCGTCGTATAAAAACATATGGAATTATCAAGCTGTTACCAAATTGAACGTAGGTCAAAAGCGTCCTTACTATTGAGCACAACCGGTTGAGACAACTAATCGTAATATTGCGAAACAAATGTGCAAAATGTGATATAAACTTTGTTCGTATTACCACAAAATTTTACCACATAGTGTCATCAGTTTAAGTGAACTAAATGTACAGTTTTCTCTGTTATTTTCTCCTAACTTTGAACAGTACGCAAGTCAAATAACATTGTACGTGCTAAGTTGACCATTCGGTCAAGTTTCGTATATATTTTTATAGTCGATGTTCAAAAAGACTTCAACACATGGACGACTTTTAAGCACTATTAAATCCGTAAATACCCTCGCACTAACGTCTCTTGGGAACTGAAATTAACAGATTGGCAGCGACGATATAAAATCTGGACACAGATCTGAAATTACCATTTGATTGGCAGCTGAGTTCACCACATACTCTAATGCGACAGTGTTGAAAATACATTTAGGACTTCAATTGGTAAATCCATAAGTCCATTTCATGATGAGACATGACACATCCCAGGCCCTTAGCGCTGACTGGACTTTAAATAGCCCGGTTGTCTTAATCACCCTAATACAAGACGCGCCCACGATATTTCAGAATGTTGAGTTCAGATTGAGGCCGGGCTGTAACATAATAAGCATACTTACATATTAACGACTGAACGACGCGTTCTTTGTCCATTTCGCAACCGCTGTTTACGATTTTTTTATGATATCATGTTATGTTTCATATTGCTATGTAGGAAGTGAGTTTTCAATGATGACCGTGGCCATAAAATAGCCACTAATTCAAACTTTGCTTCACCCTCACTTTGTGCCAAAATACTCAAATAACGCTTAAAGCTTTTCGCTTTGATATTGCCTTTTCCATTTGATGCTAATCTCTCAACAGACGGGTATTCTTCACTAGTTCGAGCGTCGACCAAAGCTATACTAAAGGCCCTAAATATTATGCTTCATCCGTCACGCCGTGTGCTGTTGTAAACAAAGCGTTACGTCGACGAAGCTACTCAAAGACTAATCGACGAGCGAGGCAACTGAAGATCGTCGTGTATTGAAGCATGCGTAATGTGTAATGAGTTCCGGTATACGCGGCAATGCGACTCGCGTGTAACCCTTTGGTACAAAATACGATTCAAATCTGAAGCAAAGCTTTGTGGCGTTGGCAGTCCGCTTAGAACACATTTGCCATAGCATCGCTGATTCTCATGATAAAACATGGCCTGTTTCGCAGAATATTTGAGATAAAATAAACCAATCTGTGATTTGTCTGTTCTACCACAAAATTTGAAGTTCCGTGATCCGAATTGACGGTGAAATTCTTTACTTATATAAACGAGGAGATTGGAAGCCACTCACTGCATAGTAAGAACTCTAATGGCTGACAAAATCTTTGAAAATCTCTAAAAGTAGCAGACATGGCAGAGCGTTTGGAATACATTTGCCAGAAAATTGCGAAAATTTCACAGTTTTATCATAATAAAAAGTCGCTTATGCGGATTAATCGGGAACAACAACAAATATTTACGATTGTTATCTCTTCTATCGCGAAATTGACAATAATATTCTTTACTTTTTAAAACGATGCCAAGTCAGAATTCTAATAGCATCTGAAAATTTCTCAACCTAGGGGACTTGGCAGCACATTTAAAATACATTTGCCGGAAAATTCAGAAAAATTTACAGTGTTATCATAATATGAAGGCGCTTATGTGGATTATCCGAATTAAACCTAAATATCTATGATTTTTACCCCTTCTATCGCGAACTTTGATGTGCCATGATCCGATTGACAATATTATTCTTTACTTACATGAACGATGAGATTGTGAGCATCTCACTACATAATAAGAATACTATTAGCTGTTAAAACCTTCAAAATTTCTCAACCTGTCTGTTTGGAATTGTTTGTTGATTTGAAATAACTGAACGAGGTTGGTGACAAACAACCACTACGGTGTACGAATATAATGCGATCATGGCAAATATTTCCCTTTTCTAACTAATCACTCTCTGGGTATAGTAGTCTCAGTATCAGCCGAGTCGAATCAGGAAACGAATATTGGCCGTAACCCTACCGAATTTGGTACTCCCGAAGTATGTGAACCAAGATGGCGGACACCGGAACGTAGAATGTGTCCCAAGTTAGGGTTCGGCCATAATTTTTCTCCAATTTTAATTATTTGAGTTCTATTACGAGATCGGGGACTAGCCAAGTGACTCCCGTAGTATTTGTACCTGAAATTATGACCTAACCCTAAATTGGTACACATACTACGTTCCAGTGTCCGCAATCTAGGTTTGCATACTTCGAGAGGGGTCCAAATTTTTTGCTGAAATGACTGTGGTCCTTGTGTATGGCTAAAAATAATTTCTATCGATTAAGATGAGGATTTATCGGCAATGCGATTTGTAGATTTGATATTGCGTACAGTCTAAATTTTCTGTTCACACTGACGTTACCCAAACGAGGAATAATTTCACCCCCAAGTTTGGGAACCACTGGTTTACGCTGTGTCATGAAATCTTGACCCGAGAAACTTTTCCAGTAACTACCTGATGAACTCCCTGACCGAGTTAGTAATGAAGCAACTCGTATCACTCACCATCTGTCAATGATAAACTACGACCCGAGGTTTTTACTAACGTCCCCGATTACATAAAAAAGCGAAACGAACAACGGAAGTTATTTTTTTGGCATGTTCGCAATGAAGTTTGCACCAATGGTTTGCAACTTTTTTTTATATATTTCCCTCTTCGCCCGTTTTGAAGCTCTTTGTTCTTCTTTACTATTGGTTTAAATCTATTTTCATTTCTGTTACATCTACAGTGCATTATTAGCTAATGATAGCTTTGTTTCATTATGTTCGTTGTTACAACTTTTTTTTTTAATTTTTATTTTTATTTTTTTCAAATATGGCGAGAATACAGCCTCTTGTTTCTGTATGCGTTCCCAGTTTTTCAATCCGCGTATTGGTAACATTAACCATTTATTGTTTACTTCTTCCCTAAATGTATCCCCTGGTGCAGATTAAAGATGCAAAACATAAGAAATGATGCCATGTGAAGTGTGAACTGCTGATTCGGAATATAATCGAATATTCTTTTCGAGTCGAATAGGAAGACCACATAGCAGCAGAAAAGAAAAGATCAGTTGGGGTTGGTGTTGTTCGCAGGCGTAGTACGAACGAGAGCTTGAAGGAAGGAAGCTCTCAAATTTATCGGGTTCACAGCTGATATTGCGAGAGAAGTGCAACCCGCGCATGTTTCGGATATATCTCCGAGAGCTGGGAGAGAACAAATAGAAAAACAGCGACTGAAACGTCACAGCGGAAGATGGCGTCACAAAAATTGAGGGGTTTTCATTTCAACCCGAGGCGGTTGGAGCTAAATAGCACCTATGAAAAGGGATTGATAAAATTCTCTCTAAACAGGTGTTTCGCTTACGCTTAATCAAATCTCTAAATC